AAATTCAACATTTTAATATAAATCAATTAGTTATAAAAACTATCTTTTTTGTATATTAATCAATATGAACATGAATATTCCTATTATTTCCATGCAATCCAATTTCTTACAAATCAATTAATTATATTTACCAATAATAATAAACCAAATAATTTCCCCCATATATTCCTCTGAACCACAACTTAACCATTTCTGCTTTCAACACAGTATACAATTAATAATATCTCAATTATTACAATTCCCTAGTTAAAAAGAGCTTTTTTTTCTTTTGTGTTTTAAAATCTTGAACTCTCCTCCTAAATTTCCCATTGTTTGCAGTTTTTCACCTACCTTTTTTGGGGAGGAAAAATAAAAATAAAAATAAATCTCTCTCTGCCTCATTTTGTCACGTTGCACCAAAGATCCTGGTTTCGGTTTCGTTTCTGCAGCTTAGCTAGGGGAAAAAAAAACTGCTTCAGGAACTCTTTACACTGATTGCCTGTAGGGCGGCCCTTTGAAGCCCCGGGCAAGAGTTTAAACAGTTTTTTCTTCTTCTAGCCATCAACTGGGGCTCAAGAGGCAGCGGGACTGAGGAGGCAGAATGAAAAATCGGGACTTTTTTGAAACGCCGCAGGACGCGGGACAAATTGCTAAAAATCGGGACTGTCCCGCCAAAAGCGGGACGTCTGGTCACCTTAAGTTATTTGTACCCCCAAATACTTAATACTGTTGACCACCTCCACAGCTGTAGCCTTGATACTGAGTGGAGTATGACTATGCCGGCTCCTTCTAAAATCAACAATGATCTCCTATGTTTTGTTAACATTCAAAACCAGGTTATTTTTATTGCACCAGTCCACCAAAGCCTTCACCTCCTCCCTATAAGAATCTTCATTGTCATCCCGGATAAGCTCCACTGCTGCATATCATCCACATACGTCACAATATGGATCCTTGGCACAGCAGTCATAGGTCATCAAGGTGAACAGTAGTAGACTCAAGACACAGTCCTGTACTCAAGGAGATGGAATTGGAAACTTTTTTTCCAACTTGCACAAACTGGGAACTATCAATAGGGTCCAGTTACATAAAGAAGTATTAAAACCTAATAGGCCCAGTTTGTTCACCAAATGCTGAGGAATGATGGTGTTAAATGCCAAACTAAAATCAACAAACAGCATTCATGCATGAGTGTTTTTCTCCTCCAGGTGTGCCAAACTAAGATGACGCACACAAGAAAGTGCATCATCTATAGAGTGGTTCTTCTAATAACCAAACTGTAATAAGTGAGATGTAGGGGAAAGGCATGAAACAATATAATCCTTTACCAATCTCTCAAAACACTTCATCATAATAGAAATGAGAGTAATTGGACAGTAATCATTAAGGCATGTAATTATAGATTTTTGGGGGGCTGGTACAATGATTGCAGTCTTAAAACATGATGGAAACACGGCCTGATGCAGTGAAAGATTGAAGATATAAGAATAGAGGCCAGCTGGTCAACACATTCCTTAATATCATCCTGTGCCATTCAGCCAATTCTGATCATTTATGTAAACAGGTCTGAATTTTATTTCTGACTTCTAGGATATCAACTATCTCACACAAATGTATATGCAATCTAAAAGTCCAATATGTATTTCTTCTACCTAGTCAATCATTAATAAATATTGAACTAAAGGACTCTGGATTGATTCTGGTAGCACATATTACACTATAATTACATTTCTCTCTGTAATTTGTTTAGGGATGAGTGGTGAGCATTCTTAGGGTATGATTATGAATGTATTCATTTACTGTATGAGTCAACCTAATGCACTTGAAATTAACATGTCATAAAGTATTTTGTCAATATCAAAATATCATAACTAATATCCGTCTGAACTCATGGTATTAATTTACCACATTCCGACCATCAATTAAAAAAAAAGGAGAAGGGCGGCATATAAATCAAATAAAAAAAATAAGGAAAATATTCTTTCATGGTTTATTTTGACAAATCTATGCTGACAAAAGTACTGGTTTCATGTTGTTTACTGATCTAAGGTATTTTGGAAGTATTTGTAATTGTGCTTGTGTTATTATTTTTTCTCTCTTCTCACCAATTTCTATCTGTTAACTTTTCTTATTATGGTATACTACTTATTGCTCTAAATGTATTCAAATCCTCTTTTGTGAACTCTGAAGCTTGACTACATTTATTTTTTTACTTTGTCTTAAAAGTTTGTCTTGAACTAAATGGATATTTCATATGTTCCTGCTGTTAGAGACTTTAATTGCATTGACTGATTTTCTGAACCTCATAATCTAGTAACTGCAAAAGGCAATGAGATGTAGATAGAGTATTAGGAATTTCCTCCATAATCCCTTTTTCTCTCTTATTAAGCCTGCTCCTTGTTTAAGGGTTTAAAAGGAGATCTCTTTCCTATTGATTATTTTAAGCTAAAAATAGTTTATTCTCTTGTGTGTTCCTCCACTAGGAGGAAGAAAAAAGCAAGTCAAGAATTTTCTGGGGGAAAAAATGCTTGATAGAATTTGTCACTAAAAAGATCACATGATAATTAAAATATTTGTAAGTTACTGTGGGAGGCAATCATATGTAACTTTTTCAGGACAGAGTGGGTAATAGTTGACACCAGTAACAGTGCTATTTTTTTCTTATTTTAACCCAGCACTGAGAATTACATAAATTACATGAAAATGTAATATGATGCCAGTGGACCTGCTAAGGGATATAGTCCCAAATTAATATTGCGTGCTAAATACATTACATATGGAAAATGTCCCTTCCTATCTTTTTTGCAGCCCACCTAGATAGTTTTGTGTAAATTCACTGAGTGATTAAACAGGAGAAGTAAACAGGGGAATAGACAGTGGAGATTAAGGAAAGGAAAATAACTAAAACAGTTAAGAGAGGAAAAGATATATTAGCTCCCCAAATGCATGTCATTCCTGAGGACCGGCATGTACTAATGGATTTAGATTCCAGAAAGACAGATTCTGGTTAAATTCTGGGAAAGTTTTCCGAACATTAAGAACAACTTAGCAGTTGAATTAATTATTTAATTAGGTGGGATTTCTTTTTCCCTAGATCTGTGATGGCAAACTTATGGCACATGTGCCACAGGTGGCACACAGAGCCATATTGGTGGGCACATGAGCATTGCCCTAGCTCAGCTCCAGCATGCGTGTGTGCACTGGCCAGCTGGTTTTGGGCCTTCTGGGCCCAATGGAAGTCAGCAAACGGGCTGTTTCTGGCTCCGGAGGGCCTCTGGGGAGGTGGGGAAGGCTGTTTTTGCCCTCTCCAGGCTCCTAGAAAGCCTCTGGAGCCTGGGGAGGGCAAAAAAAACGGGCCTACCAGGCCCATTGTGCCATCACTTGCCAAAAGCGGGGGGAGCATGGGGAGGTCGGGCACGCATGCGGGGGGGGCAGGGTGCATAGAATTATGAGTGTGGGCATGCACATGCATGACCACCCCGCACTCCCCCAGCTTTTGGCACGCGATGGCAAAAAGGTTAGTCATCACTGCCCTTGATGTTTCCAAAATGAAGGTGGAGAGATTTTTGAATGAATTCCCAAGCAGAGATTTGTATTCCAACACTGTAATTCTGAACTTTGTGACAGACTTTTAATGGTTGTGGCAGATACTTAACGTAAGCCTGCCAGGGAACTTCCTTGGGAGGAATGACAGACTGAGGACATCTTTGCAAAAACAGAATTGACAACTGAGGCAAAGAATGAAGAGAAATTCAGTACCTCTCTGGACAAAGAGAGGAAGGGAGATTGTTCACATACTGTACGTACTGCATGGCTGCTTCTTGTGTGAAGACTGCATGACAGTAGTCTCCCATGGTTTGTGCACCGGGAGACACTGGGAATAGCCATCTTCCTCGCAACTACAGTCAGTGCCTTTTAAAGGACACTAGGTTTGTTAATGTCACTTGCTCATCACCTAGAAAAATTGTTCATTAACTAATTCTAAGCTACTAGAAACTTTCAAAACAATAACTTTGAATATGATGGGTGAATTTGCCTTTAGACCTGCATAATGCAAACCCGCTCCTTTAATTGGTGCTCCTCTGGGGAATTGCAAGCAAGAATGACTAGAGAGAAAACAAACTTCTGGATCACATTCCAGTCTCAAAACACTTCATGCCCATCAGGATGAAGTGTTGTAGGCAGGGGCGGACTTCAAAAATTTTAGCAAGGGGCTCTCTGCCCGGTTGCTGGGTGGGTGTGGCCATGGTGGGCGTGGCTTAATCAGCCTCCTGAACCATGGTGGGGGCATTTTTGCCCTCCCTGGGCTTTGAAGGCATTCCTCGAGCTTCTGGGATGGCGAAAACAGCCTCCCCAGGCTCCGGAGTCCCTCTGGGTTTTCAGCCTTCCTGAACTTCTGGTAGGCCCATTTTTCACCCTCCCTGAGCCTCCGTGCACGCCCTGCACTTACCTGCATCCAAAACAGGCCACGTGGGATGGGCGGGGTGGGATTGGTGGGCCCAGCCAGAAGTGGGATTTGGGGGTTCTCCAAACTGCACAGAATCTTAGCTAGAGGTTCTCCCAAATCTGTGCAAACCCCCAGCAGCCCACCCCTGGCTGTAGGATATCTTAAATCACCAGCTAGCCTACAGCTCCCTTCCTCCATTGCAGTGGTTACCAGTTACAATATTTAGATCAAGCTTCTGAATTTTAGTAATGTTAATAGTTGAAATTTAGGGCCTGGGTAGTTCAAATGTTAAAATTATAAGTTCAGTGCCAAATGTTTATGACTCGCATCAGTCTTCGATGTGAATATAATTTTGCAGGGTTATGAGAAGCAATCAGAGGAGATGCTTTGCAAACTGTGTGGGGAAAGGCAGAACACCTTCCCTGAACTGTTAAAATAACTTTCTAATTAGAGGCCTTCTGCTGTTTTTGCTGGCAGAGTGTGCTTGGCCATACTTTTGGCTATTTTTACTCTGAGAAGCCAGATCCATTCTGCCTACTGCCATTCTTGTTCCATGCTTACAAGCTGTTTCCAAGTGCTGCAGGCTATGAGGACAGAACAGAACTCATTGTCAGCACTGTCATCGCCTTGCAGTAGAAGGTAGGGATAGCGCTTGTTGTTTTTATTATTATTCACTTCCTTCTGCTTCAACCTACATCCTTCTTTTATAGCTGGAACCTGTCATCTATTTACATTTATGCACAGATTTTTCTTTTTTTAAAAAAAGGTTGCTAAACATCTATTCAGAAGAAGCCCAACTGACAGGACACAGTTATGGGGAACATCATCACCCTGTGACCAGTTGGGTAACTTGACAAGTGGGTTTTTAAGCTGCTTTAGCTATTTGTGTGCTATGTTTATGAGGAGCTAGGTTTGTTAATGTCACTTTTTACAGGTGAAAAGTTGCATTACTTCAGCACTTTTTGCCTGCTTAGATAGAAGTCCACAAGAAGATAATTCCCATGTACTTTTTTCTGTTTAGATAGAAGCCACAATAAGTTAATTCCCATGTTGCAATATCTGTACTCCAATTGCTTCCATCAGATATATGAGAAATCTCTCAGCAGTGTTACAGTTCTAAAATCCAGTTTTCAGAGTCTTTCTCTGTATTTCTGTAGGGTTTTGATCTGGTTAGAAATACTGCTGAATTTCATTATTGCTGGAAGAGAGAAGAAAGTCTGCATCCATCTCTTTATCACTTGATCTTTATCACAAGATCATTCTCAAAATGTCACTATAATCCAGAAATAATTGGCTAACAAGTGGTTTCCATAGTAACACAGTGACTGTATTTTACCTAAAAAAAGAATATGTGCTTGGCCAGCAGGTTTAATTTTCTCAAGTCCATGATACCCCCAGCGCTTATTAATGATCTTTAAATATGTTTCCCTTAGTGTTATTTGATGCTTCATGTCCTCTGTAAATACCTGCATGATTCACTCATATATTTCTTGCTTACTGCATTTCCATAAAATTTAGGATTAATTGTGTAAAATACATTTCAAGTGATACCAGTATTCTAATATGCTTCTACCTATGATTTATGTATGTAACTATGTAATATGTTATTAATTATGTTGCAATATTTTCAGGATCAGACTCAATAAAGATAATAGGAGTTAGAGCTTTAAATATATTTCTTTTTAATTATGATAGGCATTCTATATTCACTGAATATTCAAGGTAGAAGCGACGAGAATGGTGAGGGAGGCTCCTTATATATACAAGGGGTGGAGCTAGGAATGGGAGTGGTAAGTTATGAATACATTAAAGTCCAAAGAATAAGTTAACCTCTGATGTTCCATATATACATTATTTACACATTGGAGAATAAGGCATTTACATCTGACAAATTACATATATTTAAAACAACCTTTTTGCTTCCAAAGCATATCAGAATAGCTAGTCAGATTCACATCTTCACACCCACCCGGATGTCATCACATTCGCTCTGTGCATGCGCAGAGGTAGTGCGCATGCTCATTCCCAAACCGGTAGTGAATACCACTACTAGTCCTATTAAAGTTCTATCTATAGAAGATCTTCACAACCACAATCTTTGTTTTTGTATGGAATAAATTAAGGAAAAGTTTACTGTTTACTTCTGTCTTGCTTCAATATTTCAGTTGTTATGTGAAGTAACATAGTTTTTAATCTAACCTGGATGAAAAGAAAACCTTCCCAGAAGAAGTACTCCTTACTGTTCCCCAGCTATAGCTCAGTGATAGAACATAAACCTTCAGAGTATTAAATTTAATTTTTGCATATCTAGAGAAGTCAGGAAAATAGAGAGTTGCAGATATATATGTCAGGGTAATGATGATTTAACAACTGACCAGCTGCTGTAATGCTGTAATGGTGATGCAATAGTAGTAATGAGTCAGCAGAGTTATTTGGTTGTTACCACTTTAAGAGACTGTATTATAAGAAAGGCCCTGTTCGGGCATATATCTCTCTCTCTGTGTGCTTCTGTGCTGTAGCTGCTGATTGATTGTTTGACCTTTGCCTACTACATGTATGTATATTTTTTGTAAAGATAAACCACTATCTATTATTACAAACCTCTATATGCTGTATTTGCTCCTGGGTTGTCTCACATAATCACACTGTGCACACTCTGACAGTATAAATTGCTGGGGTTAATACAACACAGCTATCTCATGAGATTCTTTGATATCTGTACTTTTTAAACAATGATGATTGGAACATTTCTTTTCCAGAACACTATGCAGATATTATATGTGATTCAAAGTTACTTGCTAATTTTAAGAACCTACACTTTATAATCTTTTTTTAGTCCAAATAGTTTTAACAACTATAAAGAACTATATGTAGTATATGTCAGTAGAGTGGAATGACAACGAAAAGAATATGCTGTAGCAAGCAGAAGGAATGGATCACATAGAAGATGGTCTTGTTGCTCCTCATTGACTTTTTCAGAATAGTAAAACATATTGATTAGACTCTTTGACAAATTAACTTTATGTATCTAAAGGGGAGCAGATGAAAAAAATGAAAAAAGCTGATTTATTAAAGGATCTTCTCTCATCACCCTTGATTTCTTCCAATGTAATTTTCAGTTCTCACATAAAATCTCTATGCAACATGTATGTGACAAGATGCCATTAATCAGAAGTGTTGCTAAAAAGACAGGAAATGAACCAACCAGTGATATCTACAGTATATAGAATATTAACATTTTTAATCATTCCTGGGAACCTAAAAATTCTCCTCCTCTATTCTACACAGTCTGAAGCTTACTGGTTTACTATGTGGTCTGTGGAAACTCCCAGGGTTTTAATATGTGAATAAATAAATACCCATGTGGCAGCTTGTTGACAGCAAAATTTCCCCCCCCCTCTCTCTCTGGGTGTGGGTGTGTCTGTGTCTCTGTGTCTCTTACACACACAATCATCATTATCTGTAGAATGAGGAAAAGCATTACGGAGGGAGAAAGAAGAAATATCACTTTATATGACATCTGTTTTCTTTGTTTCTATGTTTAATACAGTAAACTTTTTGGGCTTATAAAAAGAAAACTTTATTGCATTGCATTGCATTGCATTGAAATTGTATTGTGAAATGTATCAGTACCTAGAAGTAGAAAAATAAGGTTAAAGACTATGGATTGTGCAAGTCAGCCCCTAATTAATTTTTCTTAGGTTAGAGAAAATATCCCTTCCTATAACATCTCTCCCATGGATCCCTTTTTGAATCCTAAGGGTGTAAACAATGTTCGTGCTAACACTATAATAATAAATACCACAACAAGGAATTGGACTTCTCCCCTCCCCCCACATTCCCCCCCCACTTACCCGGGTTGCTATCCTGCCAGTGTTAGGCTACAATTCTCATCATTTCCATCAGATGAGTTGAAGTTACAATATCCATAATCCTCACAGATGGCTATCCAAAATCCATTTACCAGAGTATATTAGGAGTACAGCATTGAAGCAACATATATTGAGAAATACATATTGAGGGGAAACAAGCCTGCCATGAATGTAATGTTAAGATTTAAATATGAAGAGCAGGCTGTCCACTACTTTCATAGATACATAAAAGGAACAGACAATCCACATCTTGTGTTGTACATACCCGTTTATAAGTTAGCTAAATAGTACTGGCCCTTTAGTGCTATTAATGTAATTGTGCAATGATTGGCAACAAAGCAATTAGTGAATTACCTGTGTAATTCCTTTACTGTATTCTAGATGTAATGTGTTCATATTTACTAAGATATTAGGGAGCATATTAACTTTCTGAATTTTATGTCATAGCCATATAAAAGAAGATATGGCTTTGAGAAATCTTTTGTGACAATTAAAAGATTTTTTTAAAATTAAAAACAATAGAAAAAACCATGAACAAAGAAACTGATGATGAATAAATTACCAAGGGGTTGTGGTGCTTTGTCCTTCTTTGTCGTCTGGCCTGCCCTCTTCATAACTTTCTTCCTACCTATCAATCTCTCTCTCTCTTATCTATTTATCATGATTCTAAATTTCCAGTCTCTTTCAAAGAGGGGCACTTTTGATTGGTAGCTGCTTAATCATACTCCATTCCCGTTCCTTTTGGTCTTCTGTGAACAGACTTTAACCAACTCTCTGGAAAGTTCTGGCATTCCAAAGCATCCATAATCTCTGCTTATTTGCCTTAAGATTTTTGGCTTCATCATGACGTTGTACATGCAGAAAATAAATGAAAAGCGTTTTATATATAATGAATGCACTGAATTATCTGTCTGCAGAATGACTACAAGACCATTGTACAGTATTGTTTCATTTTTAACGTTACACTAGCATGACTTTTTATACATCCATCTTATCGAAAACGTAGTATTGAGCACCACCAGAAGGTTATTACATATTCTTCTTCACAAAACACTTTTTTAAAAAAAATTTTTTTATAAACATTTTATATTTTAAATTACTAACATTACAAACAACATATACAATATTTCACCCTGTGCTATACATAAGAAAGGAAGATTTGGTTCTTCGGATATATCCTCATGATCGCCAAAATCCACGTTCTCGGGGTACAGGTACTGAAGCATCCAATTTTCCCAGCGCATAGTCCACAAATGGTTTCCAAATTTTCCAGAAAATATCTTCTTTATAGTCACCATTTCTAATTTTAATATCACATGTCATTTTATCATTTAAAGCTAATTTCCACATTTCACAATACCATTCTTCTATTCTAAAATTCACATCTAATTTCCAATATCTGGCTATTATAATTCTACCCATTATAATCATAATTCTAATCAATTCTTTCTCATATTTTGTTGGTTCTATTTCTATAGAATAGAACTTCACAAAACACTTTTGAAATATTATTATATCATTGTTTTTGTAGCAGGTAATAACCTGTTTTTAAGACAAAAGAATTTGTTTGAGACAGTCTGATTGTGAAAAGTTTACATTGCATTCCTCTTTACTTGATCTGCTTGCTACTTATGCTTTTTCTATATCCTGAATTCTGCTTCCAAGAGACAAGTCATTGTATAGCTCCCTAAACTCATTTTTTTCTTCTTGAAAACTTGGAAGTTTACATTACAACCATACTTGCTATGATTTTATTTTAAAAACAAT